ATCACTGCGGGCGAGGCTGCTGAGCTGGCAAATACCCTGTAAATAATAAAATAAATATTAGGTTAGTCTTCTAGTTTATTGCTCTACAACTTATAAAGAAAACTTGAGCCAAGCAATAAGAAATATCTCATAGAACAAGCAGTCTATTATATAATATATTACTTCTTCTGCTCTATGCCACTTCGTGTGCCCATTTAACTATGCCAGGGCATTCAAGGAAAACTCACTGAAAAAGGCAACATTGTTAGCACTTGAATCTAGTTGTTGGCTTTTTGTGGACTAGCTGTGTGTGCACCCACAAGAAACTGTCGACGATTTACATAACAAGACCAGTTCCCAAGGCGAGAGGCGCACACAATCAGTGGCGCTACAATCGAAGCCAAAAACCCGAAGCCTGTCAACGCGTAATCCATCAAACAACGGCGTTCAACATAACATAAGAAAATCATGTGAGGCAACAACAACAGCAGCAACAGCAACTGGCAGCAACTTGCAACGAATCCGGACATATGTTCGCTGAGTACTAGAAACAAACAGTGAGAACTTGCCAAGTTGGCAACTGGTTGAGAGACCCCCTTGGGCGATCGGAATCAATTTGGCGCTTTAGCACACGAACGTGCTTCAAACATGCCACGCCCACCACCGCCCAGACAGCCCACAGGAATTGGTAGCAGCAGAGCCAGTTGCAGTTGCAGTTGCAGCAGTCGCCAGCAGCCGATTGCGGCTTAGCTAGCACCTAACTCTAATTGGGCATAATTTAAATTCCGCTCGTGAGCGCCATGAATTGTATTTAACGTTTTTGGCGCTTCCAAAGTTGGATTCGAGTGGTATCGATACCAAATACAAAGCTGAGGTCTCGGCGGTACATTTCATTTGATTTTATTTGAGTTTTAGTTTGTTTTGTTTTTAGCCACAGATTGCAGTCAACCACACACACACACACACACACACACACACCTAGAAACGTTTCCTTATTTGTATGAGCTCGACTCGGACTCTGCTTCGGACGGCGACCCCTCACACAGTTCCTTGGCTTAATTGGTTTTGCGCCTAGAGAAGCGTACGATGCCTTAGTTTTGATTAGAAGGCGGCTATTAGAAAATTGAATACACGAGCAGCGCCTTTAAGATGCTGTGTGAAAGTCACAGACGAAACTTAGCCAAAAGATTTCTATCTGGTCATGAAAAACGGCATCTAACTAAATATAAGAAGAAGAAGAAGAAGCAGAAGAAAAGGAAGCTGAAAAGAAATACCAAAAAAACGTGCTGTTCTCCAGTGGGTCATAAAGTGGGCGGATATACTTGAGGGTCTTGAACTAACAAGTGCTTAAGATTCTTAGCGGAAATTTGAAAATTTTACCTCTGCATAGATTGTAGTTCCATTAGCTCCAGGTTACTTACTTTGATAGTTCAGAATTGCCAGCAGGAAGCTGTCACACTTCATCAAGTGGCCATAGACCTAACGTTGAACCATGCCGAACCGAACCATTCCCAGAAAGCAAAACTTGTTGGCATTCCAAGGCCAAACGTGTCGCAGCGAGCAAACAATTTGTAAGCCATCATTTCAATTAAGACGCATAAATCACAAGGAAATCAGCAGAAGCAATGCTCATGATGATGCTGATTGAGATGATCATGATGATGATCATGCTGCTCGTACACATCGTTATCCTCAAGTACTTAAACAGAGCACTTAAACAGGCATTGAGCAGGCGCACAGCCTACGCAAGGCAAAGTTGAACCTTTCAATACCCTGTAGACATTGGCAAGTGGTTAAGAAAGGGGTATATTAGCTGTGAGTTTATGTATGCAACAAGCAGCAGATGGGTTGCAGAAGATGAGCTGACTCGAGATTGATATCATCGTGAACTGGGCTGACTGCTTCTATCTATATGAACAGAATTTGAGAATGGATCTTTTAAGCATAACTAGCAAACTATTAGAGAAAAAGAATCAAATGGTATTAAAGTAGATAACTTTTAATTCTTTGGCTCTTCAAGTTATGAGAGTCAATGAGAGAGTAGAGTCTACGCAGAAAGAGGCTTTAGGAATAGATAACATCAAACAGCAAGTTGGGGTATCTCATAGTCGGTCACTGTCAGCTGGAGCACTCGTATTTGTGGCCTTAACTCGTTGCCGCACTTCGCTTCATTTGGTAAACGAACCAATTTAAACGGCGCAGACAAAGGGCGAGCGATTTAATCCTTGTCGGCAGAATTCGAAACCGTCCAATACCTGTCAAGGGCATGAAGGGGGTGCTGCAATTGCTGCAGCAGCAGCAGCAGCTCGTGAAACTGCTGTTTCACGCTTCGACAAATGCCCTTTGTGCTCAGCTGCAACAAATTGCATCAGATACGAGAAACGTACGCGCAGATAGTTTTTGGCGTGGTGAACTTATTAGGCGCTGCCTTTCGAGCTGGAGATATTTATGCGAGTGCCACGAATTGAGTTGCAAATAGCCAGCGGGCAACATGAAACGTGCGCCACCGTTACTAACCTAAGGATACCCGACGAGTACTCTTCAGATACATTTTGTACGCTTGCCGTGGCGTTAAGTGCCGCCATTCGTTGTGGATGCATCATCACCTGCTGCGTAAAGAAACGAGGGACACAAATACACACAACAAACGCGCCGCAAGGATAATCAGGAATGCCCGTTGCGACAGCACTGCTGACTGCCCGTTCTTCCGTCCAGTTGCCTCTAACTGGCAACTGTCAAAACGAATTTAAGGCCAAACAATAAAGTGTAAAATGCGAGACAACAAAAAGGAGCTAAGGGCGCAAGGTGCCTGCGAGCAGGCGGACGGACAAAACAAATGTTTTTGTTTAGCGCACCGGAAAATCCCATTGAACCCAATACGCATACCCATATGCACTTCAAGTACCTGTAAAGTCACGGGCTAAAGAATAACACTGAAATATTCAACAGGTAAACACTAGCGTTCAGACTAAAGCCGGCAACGAGAGCGATTTGTTAACAGTGAAAAAAGGAAAGAGAAAAAAGAGGGCTTTCAAATTGTGGAACTTAAGCTCTAAAGGCAAGAAGAAGCAAATAATTGAATAAGATTATTAAAGAATGGAATATAGTTAAATATTATCAAATATTATTTTGTGATATATTTTGATATATTGATATGTATTTGATATATTTAAAAATATTTAAAGTAGAGTAGAAAATATTTGTCAGATTGTTGAATTATATTTTTTGGATATTTGCTGTTATATATAAAAAAATTAAATATCGAAATATATTTTGCAAGAATTTTTTGTGATAAAATAATACAGGAATAAAACTAAATAATACTTTTTTGTTCAGTCTACTATGTTTAAAGATAATATTATAATTATACTTTATATTTATTGAATTTCAAACCATTTAAGTCTTTTAAAATTTACATTTAAATAGTTTAATTTTAAGCTATTTATTTAAATATTTCATATCTAATCATTAAATATTTTTAAAACTACAATTTAAGTCTACTTATTTCAAGTGCAAATCCTTATGCAAGCTAAACTTTTCTAAATTGAAAATTCAATAAAATTTCAAATTAAATATTCAATACCTTATAATCCCTTACAGGAATTTGTCTATATATAGTTCTTCTAGAATGTTGCTAGTGCAGCAATGCTGCGCTACAAGCCACGGCAAGACCATGCCTAATGCGTTCCACAAACACAATGAATACAATCCCAATGCCACTTGCACATAGTGCTGGCTACTTAGCCTTTTCTAGCTAGATTTAAAAAATGAAAACTTTTTTAAATTAAAAAAAATTATATTAAATATTAATTTTTCTTATTATATGTATCATCTATATTTATTATCTGACTTAGCAGAAAATAATTAATATAACTAAACAAAATAATTGTTGAAAAAAGTAAAAAATCACATTAAAGTTCAGCATGAAAGGTATATAAAATGTTAAATATTCAAATAAATAAAATATATATATTTATAATTATAATATAGAATAATAAAAACTGGCAGTATAACATTATGTGTGAACATTAATTATAAATGAACTAAAAACAAATCTTTTCAAAAATGTTTCATTCTCTCCATATATAAGACCTAAGCTGTTCTCTGCGTTATTTCCTGAATACTCTTTATGGTTTCACACATAAGCAGACTCTTAGCTCGATGTCTTGTCAAGCCAAATGAGCATCACTGAGTGCAACGAACAGGCGGCACGATCGCCAAGCCGGCACGAGCGATCGCCTCAGTTTGGTTTTGACGGTCGTTTGTGTAGGACGCGGCAATCGCTTGACGCAGGCAAAGAATTAAGTTTTTAAAGATCGTAATTTGTCGGCGCGTCGCACTTCTCATCCTCGACTACTATTAGTTAGTATTTCTCGCTGATAATCGAGTGTGTCATGGAAGTAATGCAAATGATAATGCAGTGCAATAATAAATAAAAGCGAAAGTGCTTTATGCAACTGCAATCACAAATCGCTCCCATATATATATATATATATATATTGATATAGATGGTGTTTTATTTTTTTGTTGCACTTGCGCTGAGGATATACGAAAATAGCCAAAGAAAAATTTGTCGCTGTCGGCTGGCTGCAACAGAAATAAAATTAAATAGCGCAAAAATGTGCGTCAAATAAATGAGAAATAGAGAAGCCCGAGTCTTATAGAGAGTGCAAAAGGAAATGTGTACAAAATAATACAAATAAAAGTCAGCTAGAAAAAGCAAAAGCAAAGGCAAAACGTCGCGACGACAACTGACAAGCGGAAATTCTAAAAGATAAAAGAAAATTGGTAAAAAAGCGAAGAAAAAAATAAAAATAAAAATCATATAAAATTATGAATGAAAATTCTGGGAAATGTGCTTGAGTGTGCAGCTTGGTGTTAAGCAAAGTTAATAAAAATAAAAAAGGTCTTAAGAAGAGCAATAAAATAATTAATTAGGTTCAAAGTCAAGTGAAGTGTAAAATGTGCTTAAATTAAATTAAATTCTCTGCTTATCGTAATTCATTGTGAATTCAGTGAAAATGAAAGTCCGCAAACTAAGCGTTTTGGCCAAATGCTGCCTTGTCCTGCAAATGCTGTTGATACTGCTGCTCGGCCTGAGTGCTGTTCAGGGCCGGCGTGCCACACATTTGAAGCAACGACTCGCTGTGCTCTCGCCAGCCCAAATGCTAAAGGAATACAGCACTGAGACTCTCAATGTCAGCTCTGCGGAGCAGCTGGAGGCGAGCATTGTATCCTGGACGGGCGAGCGGATAACGCAACGCAAGTCCAGCTCCACGGGTCGTGGTCAGAATACGCGTCGTCGTAAAACCAAAAGTGGCCTCCTGATTGAAAGTAACATTGGCAGCGGCGAGTCAGAGATAGCAGCTGCTTCCTCAGAGATCAGAATTGGCAAGAAGTCCAAACAGCGCGGACGCAATGGACGGCTCCAGAGAACGGACGGCAAATCGAATGCCAATGGTAAGTTGTTGCAGCCATAATCGAGTGGCTAATGCATAAGACCATGGACCACAAAGCATTCTAAATATGGCTTGATCGATTGGTTAGAAGTTGGTAGAGTCGCCTCGTTATTGCGGCTTCCTTGTTCTGCGACTCTGGCTCTGACTCTGTTGGCCATGTCGTGTCCAACGTGTCCAACGCGCATCCATATTTGGGCGCTCAAGTTGAAAGAACTTTCATGTGAAAGTTGTGACAGGAGGAAGAGATTTCTTTTTTTTTCTACTTCTTTTCTTATACTCTTTATATATATAAATATATTTACAAGTAATTCTATACGTTATTACGTGAGAGGTCCAGTTATGGGCGAGCAATGTTGTCGTTGCCTTTGCCGTTGTCTTGGCTCTTGCTGTTGCATGCCCCGTGCACAGCATTTGTTGTTCTTGTGCTTCTTCTTTGCCATGTGAACTTTGCCTATTAGGCGTACGATCTGCATAGCTGCAGCGCTGCCTGACAAACAATAAACCTATAGACATGCTCTTCATTAAAGTTTTATCTTATAGAATCCAATAAAAATCTTGTGGTTTTATTTCATTTGAAACTAAAAATATATTTTATTTAAGATTTACAGTCGATAAAGTTCTAGCTTTAAGAGTCTTCATACAGATTATTTATAGCACAGTTCTTTATCTTAGTTCAATTTTTTCTTGGATGAGTTTTGAAAACTGTTTTAATTAAATGTTCTCTATATAAATATATTTAAAAGTTTCAATTTCACACTGATTTCAAATTTAAACAAATAAATTTTTAATGTGAATTTTTTATATAATTTATTTGTTTTAAAAGCTTTTATGTGAAATAAAATGCTGTAATAAATAGCTTCATTATATTTTAAACTAAATAACAAATAAAAATAATTTTTACTTCAAACTAGTTATTTAATCTATTGAAGAACAAACACAGAACTCAAATGCCTACCAAAAAAATATATATATATTTTTATATATATTTTATATATATATTTTTTTTTATATTCCTTCATAACATCTATGTGATACGAACACACTCAAAAGAACAGTTACCCAAAGTCAAAATAAAGAAACAAAAATAATTGAATAGCAATTTAATTAATTTTCAAAGACCCACAAAACAAAGTTCAAATTCAAGAACAAAACCTATCAAAGTGGAAATGGAAAAACCCAAAAATAAGAGCCACATGCGCTATAGAATTTACAGAATATAAGGGCTGTGTGTGTGCACTTCAGGTCATTTTACTAGAGATCAACAGAGAGGCAGACACACATATGTGACCCCTTAGTGAGGACAATAGCGCCAGGCTCTACTATGATACCGCCTACTCTTCTACACTCTGGTAATTGTGGTCGTGCCCAAAGAAGATACCCTAACAACAGCAACAACAATGCAGACAATGGCCAATTGTTAGAGACACATAACCCACTGGAGTACACATATAATGGTTAAACTAGTTGCGTGCATTGTCATATGGAATATACAAATACATATATTTATATATATGTATATGTAGTGTGTCAGGGACAGGAACCGCAACACGCGCTAATAGGAACACATGTTCCAGCTGGCTGTTCGCATAGGTGTTGACCAGAGAACTCGCCGTAGGTCTAAATACATTGTGTGTGTTGTGGCCGAACTGGTTATAAAAATTAAGTGGCTTATCGTGTCGAGTCGTTCAAATTTGTTATGAGCCCAAAACTGACGAAGAAGAAGCAGCAGCAGCGAGATGCATTCCTGCGGTTGGCGTTCTCTCCTGGTGCCAGCTTACGACTTACTAATAGATTGTCTAGAAGTTTTATGATAATCATTTGTTTATGTTGACGTTTGTTGACAGTCGTCTAAGCGCTGCCAAAGCACAGTTGACCCACTCAGATAATAGCGAGAGAAATATATATTAATGAATTTTATGATTTTTGATGAAAAATATCCCAAAGTTGTTGAATATTTTGTTTATTTATTCAAGCACACACTGAGCGAAACTTGGGCTCTAAAACCTGAAGCATTTAAGTTATTTTTGAAGATATATTAAATTTGGGCACATCATATATCAATTTGTTGGGAATTTGAATATATATAGTTAGCTGTTTAAGTTGATGAGTATTTATTTAAATAATTTAAGAATTTTACATTTTACTTAGATGGAGATTAATATAAACTTTCTTTGAAAGTTATTGTTATGAAAAAACTTTTTAAGAAAACTTTGAAAGTTATTGTCTCTCTTGAAAAAGTCAAAATATATTTACGTAGTTTTTTAGATATTTAAAATTCATAAAAAAAACTTTTTATAGATGCATCATACGTAAGAAATTTTAGTAATAATTTTTTAATTATATATCATAAAAAAAACAATAAAGAAAATGGCAAAAGTATTTTAGCTGCTCAACTTAAATTTAACACAAAGATTTCCAAAGCCAAACTTCTTCAGCAGATCGAAAATCTATCAAAATAATCACATTGTTCATGCCTAGCCTGCCCTTACCTCAACAATATACACAAGTCAGACTTTCAGCACTTACTGGGAAAAGCCCTTAGCTACGGCACATTTTGACCAGCAACAAAAATTGATAACTCTGAAATAGATTGGAAAAGCAAGTTAAAAAACTTTTGCTTTTCAACGCTGGCTTGACCAAGGCGAAGTTGAAGCGTAAAAGGCAATAGAAAACCAACAGAAAAAGTTCACTAAACTTCTACAAAAAACTTCACATGTCAATAAAAAATTAAAAACAAATAAAAGTCAATGACAGCCCGAGCAAAGGCAAAGGCAAAGACTTTCAGACGAGACAGAGAAGGAAGGAGGGAGTGAAGTTATTTCCGAAGTCTCTGTAGCATTTTCCCACAAATCTAAATTTCCAGCACTCGGCGCATTGTGTAATGCAGTTAACAAGAAGCAAACAAAAAACAGAAGAAAAATATATATACAAAATCAATGAAGAATTGAAAAGTGGATGCATTGAAGAATGCATTCTTCAAACAGTTGTCTTTTCGTTTCTTTTATATTACTGAATGGGCAAACAGCAGCTTTCCCGCTTGCCGTGTGTAAATATCATGACTTGGGGAATCGTCTATATCACTTTATATGTCTACATATATAGCGACATATATATGCATGTACATTGCCAGCTAATGAGCTGATAAAGTGTGAGTGCGTGCGCTGATTAGCCACGGCTCAAGGCACTGCGACAACGGCCAGGGAAACGCAGTTGGCGTGGGCTCAAGCTAATGCCCAAATGTATCTAGATTCGTAAATGTATCTGTAACTTGGCTACCATGTATCTATATGGCCTTTTGTTGACCCATTTCGTGGCGAACTTTCATTTTCAGTAATCTAAACAAGCCATCAATCAATTAATGCCAATAGCTGTTGCATTTATCAGACTCTTCGCGAACCGTTTCGCCTTTATAAATCGAGTCAACACGGCGTTTAATCGTCAATAATTTGCTCTATCAATTCGCTGTCTCCGACTGCTCAAGACGCTGCCCACTTGACTGCACGACAACTGCTGCCAACTTGTTTTCCCATTTGCAATTCGCAATTGAATGATTTAGAAAACTAATCTAAACGCATTCGATTTGCATTCATTATCGACAGCTGTTAAAAAAGTTCCAAGCTTCATTTGTTGATGACTTGATCGAAAGTTGCTTTAGCTTCAATTGAGTTTTTCCTTTTCTTTTTTTTTTTTTTTGGGGCGTATTACTTTGAATCTCTTGAAAGGCTGCATTGGGTTATTATGAATAATATTTTGTAACATAAATAATTATGTTTGATTCATTATTATTATCATTATCATTGTCTTTGTTCACTGTCCGGGAATAATGCCTTCATCATTATTCTTTGATTTGTTTTGATAGCAATCGTTCTCATTGTCATTATCATTGTCATTATCCTTACATTATTCTTGTCATTATCATTGTCCATTTCATTGTCATTATCATTATCATTGTCATTACCATTGTCATTATCATTGCCATTATCATTGTCATGATCCTTGCATTATCTTCATTATTATCATGATCATTATCATTATGATTATCATTATTTAAATATCCACATCATTATTATCATTTTTATTACTTGTTATTATAATTTCATTACTAATATTGTTATTATAAGTATTGCTATTATAGTATAATTTCCGATATATTTAATTAACAAATCTCCATTCTCATTGTCTGAATTAGAGTATAAAAAATTTCGTATTTATTTTTACAGTTTTACAGTTTCCAAGTATGAAAGTATTTCTCTCAACACACTCAAGGTGTTTCGCCATTTCCCTGCCACATATCTCTATATTTCGAATGCCCTTTACGAATCTTTCACAACGCTTTACTGTTTCCACTTCTGTTGCATCTCAGCTGCAGGGCCCTTTGTTGTGATAATTTATTAAAATGCAGTTTATAGATCTTTGGGTTTAGTGTGCCAAGGCAACAGCCTGAGCAACACCTGGCCTTTCGAGTTGTTGTTCATGCAACATTTTGCAGAGCGTTTACGTGAGATCGTAACTGAAAAAGACAGCTGCTTCCAAGGAAATTAAATATTTGCAGAAACTATGTAGAGCAGGAAGGATAAGTAAGCAAAATGTAGATAAATATCTGCATGATTATAAAATGTCTGAAATAACCCAATTTATATGATCTGTGTGGGGGTAGTCCAAATGTAGATACACATGTCAAAACTCCACAAAAACAATAAACAAGCCGAAGATGATGCTCAGGCAATTGGGGTACTCATTAAAAAATAAACAAAAGCCGACTGAATACAATGGATTGGACGAGAATTCCTTTTTCATTGAGTCTGGGGTCTGGTAATATGATATGGAAACCTAATATATCCTATACAAATTGCGAGCGCGCTTTTGAACTGAAGTTCCAATAAATAAACCACTTAAGAACATAAAACTAAAGGGCAAAACATGCATTTAAAGTTTTTATAGATCAGCCCGAAGCAAACCGAAATACGATGTAAACATTTTGTTTGTTATTCATAAATACCA